CATTCTAGTTTCAATTGTTCACTTAATTTATTCTCATGAAAATAGGATAATAACAAATTCTTCCACGAATAGCAAATTAAAACAAAGAGACGTTCATCTTAAATATTTTTCATACAAGAAGCATATAAATCAACGCAATGTTTTTCATCGAATCAGTATATATTCATATTATCGAAAAAATGTAATTATGATAGAAAAACCAATATATATTTAAGCATACAACGAAGAAATAAAAGAAAATGTAGAGAATAAATGACACTAATAATAACAGACAAGAACATTTATATTTGACTATCAATTTTCGGAACAATATGAATGCAAAATTTCCTACCCAATTGTTTTGGATTAAAAAAAAAGCAAGTTCTTCAGTCAGTCAATGTAAGTCTTAAAACACTAAATTGACGTTTGGTTCAAGCATTTGTTGCTAGAACCGCATGAATTTGTTAAAATACTCTCGAATAATAAAGTGATTTATCAACATTTGATTTCCAAAATGTAAGAGCCAGCCCAACAACTTTGACCTGGCCTGGCATGTTCACCACATCAAATATGATATGGACGAATCGGGACGAAATCGGCAACTCTCATATAAACGATCATTAGCTACTACCTTTTACAATCAAAAACAAATGCATATTTTATGTCAATACCAAAAAAAATCTATAAAACTAATATTGAATTTTATGATCTATACGAAAATAATTCGATGAAAGTGATAAATAAGATTTTTAAATAAGTTTTGAACTTTCCAACAAATCCTTTACTTGTTAGAATCCGATGAACGAATGCAGACAGATAGATATCTATTGTGGAATGATAGTCTTCTTCATGAAACGTTGATGTGACATCTTTAAGAAAAGTAAAATGATAAGTGAATTCAACTACATATCGATCTATAGATTTCAAATGAGTATTAGTAACAAGTTCTGCTAGAACAATAGGATCAAAATCTTCTATCATATTAAGATGTTTATTAGTAGATGCACTAGATGTCTGATGTTTACCAACAATCGTTTCACCTATTTCTGATTTTAGATTAATATAAAAATTATCATTACATTGTTCAAGTACAAATAATTCAATACTTTTAGAACCCGCATTATTTGCATTTAAAAACGTCATTCACTCTCTGATATTCATATTTATAATGATGTTGAGTACAATAAAAGGTTTCTAAACATCTTGCATAAGTTGATTATTAAGTGAAATGAAGATTAGAAAAACTATCAATTTTTTCACAATTTGTTCCAATGCATCTATTAGTTTTTATTTATCACCAGGACAAACATTCAATGAATCAATAAGAATAAGAGATGTGGGTATTGTATTATAAAAATTTGGGACAATCAATATTGATTTGTCTAACAGCAAGTACTCAAATGAATATTATCATTTTGTTTACTTGTTCAATTTGATTCAATGCATTTATACAAGTAATACATGTAAGAGGGAATGTTTTTTTTCTGTTTTCCTTATTAATCTAATAAGAACCGATCTCATTTTTTCATCTATTCCATAAATATCTTATGAACAGAAAAAATTCGTTATTAGAAGTTATATCTTTCACTCTTGTAGTACATACGCTATATAGAATGAATCGAACTTGTCTTTCTGTGAGTCCATCGTACAGAAAGCAAGAAAGAAAAGAGAAAAAGAATCATTAAAAAAAGGAATACATAACAAATATCGAAAATCAGATGTAGGTAGTAACTAGTTGAATAGCCTTTATAATAATTGTCGTTATATATAACTCTCTTTTAAAAGATTACTATTTGTTTGTGAAATAAAATTACGTAAAGGTTAAGTCGACTTTTGTTAAATAAAATCTTTATGGTGCTCAGTAAATAAGTCGTATGTTTAATAAAATTATGAAATACTCAAAAAAAAAAAAATTTTTCTCGATGATTAGCATCTTTAATAAGTTTGATAATTAATATACCAGTAAAATATTTAATGATTTTGTTAATAAATTGAGTTTATAATTATAAAACTTATTAGATTAGTAACAAATATTATTAATACATAAATGTAATAAAGACAATTGGAGATTCTTAAACACAATATGAAGATTGTTAGTTGATAATATCACGCGTATATTTTCTCTTCTGGACTTTCCTTTTGTTCGTGTTGATGTAGAACTAGTTTTTCGCAATGCATTATCCTTTTTTTCTAAAGAAATCGAGCAATAGAGAAAATAATTTTTAGAGTAGTTCGAAGAACAACGTTCATTCAAGACGACGATTGCAGTCATCAAGACAGCCAAAAACGGCACTGTATACTGTCATTTCATACAGTTTCGGGTCTAAATAATTGTAAATTGACGTTTGGTAGACGCAATAGTATGATTGTATTGCATTGCATTGTAAATGGTTGAATACTCGATTTTCAGACCCTTTAATGACTGTTATCGATTGTGTATGATACGATCATAATATTATGCCTACCAAATGATAGTGTACAGTACCATTTTTGTCATTTCGGCGACTGTAATCATCGGCTTGGAGTGGTACAAATACAACACGTTTACCGAGTGCATCGTATTACACCGGAATTCAACCTCAATACGGTACATCGTATATAGTTCCCTGTTTAACGCCGAAAATCATTGCAATTGAGCCGAATACGATCGTTTACATGTCATATCGTTCGATCTGGACATTAGATTGAAATTTCGTAAACCATCTTGAACAGTAAAGAGTAACCATTAGGTGAAAAAAGAAAATGAGGACATGTACCAATAATAATAAAAGCATCATAATTACAATAACTGTGTAACTAAATTTTTTACTACTGAGGTTGAACGATACAATCCGTATACGTTCGTTTACGGTTAATTTACAATTACAGTTGTATTCGCTAAGAATATGATCCGTTTGCGTGTCATACTAGACTGCAAACGGTCGTATACGGCAAAGTTACCAAGAAAATACAGACAGGCGTATCAATCGACATGAGTAATATATCTACCCAAGATGACGATAACAACTGTCATAAATGATCATGGATGATCGTATTTCTTAACTCTAGAACAGGAATGTTGGTGAGTGATTTCTTTTACCCAACCCGCTTGGCGGATTGAGCGATATTTTTTTTGACCCGCGGGCTACTCCACGGGTTGACGATTCTTCAACCCGTCACGGGCTGCCCGCGGGTTAATGCAAGTTTAATTGCGATTGTATTTATAAAAAATTCACAAGTTTAGTAAATCGATACATTCAGTTTTTGTATTCGTTTTATTGAAACAAATATTTTGACCATTAAAATATTATTTTTTATTTTTGAGTACATCCATAAGTATTACAAAATTTGAAGTTCAGCTCAGGGAGATAAAGAGTCCAATGAAAGTAATAGCATATGCTCATGTTCACAATGTAAAAAAATTGACAGCTCCTATGATGATGATGATAATAACAGATATTCAAAACAATTGAGAATTAGATAGACTATATATCATTCATTCCCGTTTTGTAAAGTGGTCGAACTAATAACAAGTCTTTCAATAAGCTTGGTTTTGTACGTGATTTCCGAGCACAATAAACAAGAACAACTTGAGGAAACTGTCTTTCGACAGTAACTGAACTCGTTAGAAAAGTTTGACTGAGGTATTGACTACAAACTATAGTATTAACTGATATACGTACGAAAAGATAGATTCTTTTGCTGCGTCACTCTGCTTGAAAAAACCAAAAAGACAAAACGAACGGAAAAAATATTAAGAAAAGATGAAGCGAACAGGGAAAATGTGAAGATGCATAAAAAACCGATCGAACTTAGTATTTTGTGCAAGCAAGTTTCGAAAGAGAAGCGCATTCATGTGTGTGTATGCTTCAAAACAATTAGATGAACGACTAGAATCAAGATATAGTCAATACAAATGATAGAAAGAATTTCGATGTTAAAGTAAGAATTAATGGGAAAGATAAAACCAATCATCGGTGGAAGTTAGAAATGAAATGAATACGTGCGTAAATCTATGTAGAAAGCAAAAATTAAAGATGAAAAGCAAAATTCATAAACGGGTTGAATCGGGTTGAACCAGTGGGTTCACATAAAAATATAACCCGATCCGAGAAATCCGTAAATCTCAAAAATACTAACTCGTTAACCCGTGGGTTACGAGTCGGACGGGTTGAAGTAAAACGGGCTAACCCATCAACATCTCTGTTCCAGAATTGTGAACATATTTTATTGTGTCATATACGACGAAATACAATGTATACACGACCATCATGAATGACCATATTCTCACTAATATCTTCTGAATGAGAAGAGTGACTTTCTATTCACTCCCTACTTCCATCACCATATAAATATAACTTATATATATAAAATATACTCACCTTTGCATTTTCTGTTGAATCTAACTGATAAAAGTTATGTTCTTGTCAAATATACTTCATGTCATAATTTACAAAACGATCGTATATGTTAGTCGTACTTGAATATACAACACTGTAGACATTCGTCTTATACGACGACTTTTTTCACCGTATTTCATTGTATACAGCTGTTTACAATCGTACCTTTGGAACTTAGGAATGTTTTTTTTACTTAACAAAATTTCAATGTTTATTAAAATATACATATATAAATATTGTGCCCAAAAAAATAATTTTTGTTTTCATTTAAACATAGTACAAAAAAAAATTGTTTTTTTTTTTACTTAGAATCATATTTTAGTAAATTACGTAGGAAAAAAGAGAACTTTTTAGTATGTAATTAAAAAAAAATATTTTGCATTCAAATGGTTGCTATTTGTAAATAGCTTCGGTCAGACTGACATAATAGAAATCATGAGTTCTATTGTGAAACAATATTTCTATTCATTTAATAATTGATTAGTATGAAAGTAGTTTTATTAGCAATGTAGATACTTGTATATTTTCTTTGTATTTGTTCAATGCATCGAAAAATCATATTTTCAATTGTTATAGATATGTCTGATCTGCATTAATTTATTGAAGGAAAAAATATATATATATATATATACATAGATATATTTATCTTTGTTGAATTCGATCTAATAAAATATTTATTTTATCTTGTAAATTAATCATTCCTTGATTAATTTCAATCAAATGATCTTCTATTGTATCAATTTTATGTTCCATTAAAATAACTTTTTGTGATGTTTCATCTGCTGCTGTACTTGCACTACGTTGTACAGTATATAATTCAAGTAATGTAACACAATTATCAGTTAATTTACGTTGTTCTTGTTTTATTTTACGCATATAATGTATAGATTTTAATAATTTACGTTGTGCTTGTATATATTGAATAAACATATGTTTACCTTTTCGTTTTAAATACCAAACTTTCCAGCCAAATTTAACAACATTAGCTGCTTGATTTTTATGTGATTTTGCTAATTCAATATTTGCTACAAAATTGTGTACATATCTTTCTGATCTTGTTAATTCAAGTTTTTGTGAAATAACAGCAACAAGTAAAGCAGTTGAAAATACACCAATGATACCTGTTATAGCAGCTATGCCTAATAAAAACAAAAAAAGAAAATATATATATATATATATATTTGTTTTTTGGAAAAATTAAATAAGATTCTTTGAAACATAGAGTAATATTTTGGAGATATTTTCTTCAAAATAGTAACATTGATATATCTCATGCCTTACATGAGAAATACAATAAAAGAACATCAATAATTAATATTTCTAACACATTTTCCCTACAAGGAATACAAAATTAAAAAACAAAAAACAATTCTTCTATCATGAGAGTAATTGTCTTTTCATTTGAATGCGTTCAACTCTTTCAATATAGAATCGAAATTAATTTTACCTCGTCCACAATATGTTGATGGTACGATATCTCCATAACCTAAAAAATCAATCAAAAAAATAATAAAAAAAAAGAAAGCTAAATATTAAATACCAATTGTAGTAAATGATATAATAAATAACCATGTTGCATCAACCATTGGCATATGCCCTGTTTTTTCACTAAAATCACATGCACGCATAGCCCAACTTGCGATAAAAAATGCACTAATACAAAATGTTGTTAAACATATTGCTGGTCGTTGTTGAATATAGGCTTTAATAATAAAAGGAAATGTAAATGAAACTCGATTGAGATAACCAAGTGATTGTGATGAAGCATCACGAACCAAACGTGAACGAAGCATTATCAAACGACAAATAAGATATAATCGCAAAAACACTTCGAAAGAAAAAAAAAAAGTATATTTTCATATGATTCTTTGTTTTATTTTATTGAAATATCTTCTAACTTACTTGGTAAACTAAGTATAACATCAATTGGTACATAAGGTTTTGCTAAATCAGTTGTATTAGTTGTTGATGATAATGATTGAATTGTTGTTGAAATTATTGTTGAATTTAATAATGTAGATTTAGTAAATGTATTTTGATTAGATCGATATGGATTAAAAAAATTAAAACTACCTTCAACTTTTTTAACATGTTGTGAACTCCATTCAACAAGAAAATGACCTGGTATTGGATGTATTATACAAACCAATGCTTCTAATATAATTAAGAATATTTTTTTTTGTGTTAATGCAATACGCCAATCATCAATGGAATTATCAACACAATAAAGACTTAGATCAATACGATGATAATAAAAAACAAGACCAACAAGGATCATTGTTGTGAATGTTATTGTTGCTTTTATAAGTAAACTAAATGTTGTATCTTTATGATCAAAACGAGTAAATGTTAATTCACTTTCAATTATCATTAAAATAATACCCAATATACCTAGAAAACACATTAAATCGCCAATAAATCGACTAAAAACAAAAAGAAAAAGAAAATTCAAAAATTAAAAGAACAAAAGAAAAATGATGTTGTTTTTTTGTTCATCACCGTCGAATGTGTAAAACTTTTCGTTTTCCCAGACGATATCCAACATTAGCCATTAAAGTTTTCTTAACAATTTGTCGTTTTCGTGATGATATTCGGCGAAGTTCATATTCATTTTTTCCTAAACTATTTTGATTTTCTAATTGTTTTCGACTAGATGATGATGCCATTGATGTAATAGTAATACTAGTCGATGGTGATTGTGGTTGATTACGCATTTCCATGTATTTAACAACTGGGGTGGTGCGAGATGTTAATGGTAAACGTGGATTATCAGCTGAAGCCATCGAAAATGCCAAATATTGCTCGTATATACCTACTAATTAAAAATCTAATAGGAACGACATTGACATATTTGCCTTGTATTCCCACGAGTTTTTTCTTTTCGATGAGGAAACAAAAAATTATATAGAACGCTCTGAAGAAATAAAAAGAACAAAAAAAAAATATTAGGCCGCAGCTACAGTGATGAATGTTTGATTGGGCTTATAAAAAAAAAAGAAAACACTATAATATATAATAAAAGTAATGAGAAGAAAACAGAATATAAATAATTATTATTTTCGTTTTTATTTTAGTTCTAATTTTAAAAAGTTTTCCTAAAAAAAAACAGTATTAAATATTTTTGTTCTCAACACATTATCAACACAAAACAGAATGTAAATGTGAATGCGTAGGTTATGACAATAGGGGAAAAAAAAAGTATTATCGGAATAGTTATGTCACGTACATAGCTAGCTAGTGGAATTTTTATTTTCATATATGTTACTTCTCTATAGTGTTAAAAATAAAAATTATGTTTTATGCACGCAAATACAACAACCAACAAAAAATTGTCTTCATTAATATGGTTGCACTTACTCTTTCTCATCATTTTCTTTTTCATTATTATCTAAGAAATTCTTTTTCTCATTCATCTATATGTGTTCGTATGAAAATGTAATTGCATACCGATGTTAGTCTGTTATATAGGTGTTTTTTTCAATGAAGTCGCTGTTGTTATTATTCTTCATGCTTTTTTTCTGAGAATCTTTTGAGCACATAAAAAGCACACATACAAGGACGAACAAACACAAACTAGAAAAAGAAAGATGAAATAGAAAATTAAAACTTAATAGACAGACCTGGACTACAACTATAATATTCTTATACTTACATACACTTGCATTAGCGTCAACAAAAGAAGAAAAAAGAGAAGAAAAAAAAAAAAGATACTGCTACTACTACTACTAATTTATTTGACTGACAAAAATGTAGTAGCCACTTATGAGACTTTCTAAAAAATTGCATTTTTGTTTTCTCATCAGAATTTTACCATATTTATTATGGTTTGTAATTGGAAAAATGTACGATTAGATCACAAGGAATGATGAAAACAATAAAAAGATTATTAGCATTTTGTAACAGGAAAAAAATAATAATATAGAACAACAGTTTTCGTAAAAAAAAAACTCTCAATCTTTGATAGTAGGATTTTTTTGTTTGTCAAACATTTTTACAAAAAAAAATCCACTTACTAAATGTTTAATAGAATAGTCATAAACATTAAAAAAAATAGAGTTGGAGAATACTTGAAATTTAGACTCTTCAAAACAACATTGTAGTCAACATTCGTATCAATGTACACAAAATAACAAAGTTATTATCTATTGACAATGGTCAAGTAGAGCATCACACAAACATGTGTTTAACTTACAGAAGAATTTAATTTCTAGCCAGTAACAATACTATTTTTGAAAAAATAAACTCAATAGATTGCTAGATTTATTTGTATCCTATTTTGTGATCCGACCAAATGATTTTTGATTTATATGCAAACAACTTTCTTTTCACCATATATATATATATATATATATATCTTAAATCATACTATAATCGTTTATAACGATAAACTTCATAATCTTTTTCAACAAACTTCATTAAACCTGTTTGATAAAAAAAAATCTTTTTGTTTTAATAAGATTTTTCTTTCATTAGGTTCGATCGTAAATAACATGTGATACAAAAATCATTGGACAATTGTCGACGCTTATTTCTCTGCGATAGAAAGATGCTGAAAGAGAAAACTCTTTTTTTTTTATCAGAAGATAGAGAATGTCTTTCTCTTTCGAGTCGTATATAATATATTTTTTGTCATAGATTCATAAGAGAAATGATGCAACAGAAAAGAGAAACATTCTTAAAATGAGTTCACACTTTTCATTTAATTTAGAATAAACTTACAAAATATCAAGCTCTATATCTCTTTAGTAAATAGATGTTGGAACGATAATTTTTTGGATTAGCTGATAGGAAATGTTCTTCTCTTTCCAACTGTATGCACCTTAATTTTGTTATACATTCATAAAGAAAATGACATGAGTAGAAAGAGAAACATTCATGCAACAAGTTTTCAATTTTCATCAAGAGACAACAAACTGATTTCTTGATTTCTATCACTGAAAACCAACCTTTTTCTGTTCGTCATAAATAAATAAGAATCATCGGAAATGCTTTGAAATGAAAGATAATCACGAGCAATCATTAGAGATCAAGAGCAGCCATCAGGAGTATCGGTAATTATTGAATATCAAGAAAATCAAAAAAACGTAATTAGAAATCAATAGAAACTACGGCTTTATTTTTAGCTTTAGTACTAGAGATTTTCTATAATTTAGAGTGATTTTCATTGATTTCTAATGACTTCTGATGGTTTTCGATAATTTAAAATTATTTTCAGTCATTATTCGTATCCTTAAGCTGTTGATGTGATTTCCGGTGATATCCAATGATTTATAGCAAACGAATCAGTTTACTTCCCATTAATTTTTATATTGACTTATCAAATAAGTCATGAAAATAGATTGAAATCTGATGCTAAGCTAATATGAGGTATATCAGAATCTTCTACGTATTACTGAAAGAGGCTAAAAGTTTCTTTTTTTTACTAAAAACAGAAAAAAGGATAATAAATTTTTATTTAACAAACTGAATATAGCCCATTATGCCATATGTGTCGAAGTTTTTAACGGACATTTTGAATCATAGTCTGTAGAATAGTTTTACCACATTCTTTGGTCTTTTGTTTGAACATACGAGTCGATAAATTCAAATTTTTGGCTTCCGAATTATTCTCATATACTTTTTCAATTAATATAACCCAAACAATTTCAATAGGTTATGCTTGGGGTACATTTGGTAGATTATTTTAACATAATAACAAATGTGTTTTTTCTTGTCTTAATCGTTCATTTACAATTTTCAAGTAATGTGCTATTGTCAAATCAGATCAAAATATATAATTTCCACTGTGATGATATTTTTAGATTAATGGCATTAACCTTTTAATTATACATAATTTTAAATATATACCTTGACGAACTGCTTGGTTGCTTTGATATACATATCACAGCTGTCGGTCTGGTCTGCTGCCTAGCAAGAGTTTGTCAGGTCACAATTTTTAGAAATCAAATGTTGATGAATCGCCTCATTATTCGAGAGTACTTCGACAAATTCATACGATTCTAGCAACAAATGCTTGAATTAAACGTCAATATATTGTTTTAAGACTCATCACATTAACTGGCTGAAGAACTTTTTTTCAGATTCAAAACAATTGAGCAGCAAATTTTGTATTCGTACTGTTGCGAAAATTGATTGTCGAATATAAATGTTCTTGTCTATTATTATAAATATCACTTATTTCCTAGATTTTCTTTTACCTCTTCGTTTTATGCCTAAATATATGTTGTTTTTTCAATCATGATTACATTTTTTCGATTATGTGAATAAGTACTGATTTGATCAAAAACATTATGTTGATATAAATCTTTCTTGTATGCAAAAATATTTATGTTGAGTATCTCTTTATTTTAATTTTGCTATTTCGTCAAAGACTTTTTTTTAATCTTATTTTTATAAAAATAAATCAAGTGAACACTTGAGACTAGAATGATACATTAATGCAGTGTAACAGGATTAAACGTATTCAAAAAGTCAGAAACATTAGTCGATTTGATTTGATCTGCAAGGTGCTTTATGATTTTTGGTTTAGCCTGCAGGCATTCAGAGTCAGATCAGAAAAAAGTGGCCTATTGGCAGCTCTGATACATAAACATCTAAAACTGCGTTCGATGACATGGTCAACCAAGCTATGATTTTTGGTTCAAGTTTTGTTTTTCTTTTGGATTTAATATTCACAGAAGTTGTAATTATATCAGTAGAATCAATAATATGGAATTATCGTAACATTATTCTCATGTAATATGAAATATTTGTCATCATCTAAAATAACATCATAATTACAATTGATCATTTTGTACAACTTCCTGCAGTTCTTTCTGACTCTTTTTTCTTGAGCATTATTGTCCATCTTTGGAATGTTTCAACATTTTCTGATAACAATTGATGTTATTCTTCGTGAGTTACGACTGAATGTTGTTTTAGTTTTTGATTAGAAGGTTTTATTAGACAACCACATCTTGATAAAAATTTGGTTTGTCTATGTTTTTCAAATATTTGTGCAATATACAAGGGGGAAACGGCAGACTTTTGGACTTGAAGTTACTTTGAGCTACTTTAAGCTACTTCAAGTTACTTTCAGCTACTTGAAGTAGTCTACTTTGAAGTATTTTTCAACTTCAAATTTACCTGAAGTTACTCGAAGTTACTTTAAGCTACTTGTTCCTACTTTGGGCTACTTGGGTGGTACTTTGAGCTACTTCAAGTATTCTACTTTGACGTACTTTTCTACTTCAAGTCCGCCGTTTCCCCCTTGGCAATATATATAATAAATTGTTGTTCTTGGAATGCCTTTTCTTATAAAATAATTAACTATCGTTTTACACAACTTATTTGATGAATAAAAGTAAAAATTGAAAATTCGCTGCGCGAATATTTCTCCATCTGCTTATGTCATTTTCTTTATGAATGTATAACTAAATTATGTTATAGACAGTTCGAAAGAGAAAAATATTTCCTGTGAGCTAATAAAAAAAATTCTTGTTCCAATACATATATACTAAAGAGATATAGGTCTTGATATTCTGGACGGTTATTCTAAATTAAATGAAAAGTGCGGACTCATTTTGAGAATGCTTCTTTCTTCTGTTGCATTATTTCGTTTATGAACCTTTGACAAAAAATAAATTATATACAATTCGAAAGAGGAAAAATTCTCTATCTTCTGATTAAAAAAATTTTACTTTCAACATTCTTCTATCTAAGAGAAATAGAGATCGACAATTGTCTAATTACTATTGCATCATAGGTTATAATGTACATTGTGACAATATAATTTTTCTTCTATTTTTCATTTTGTTGAATGTCGTTGCTGAGAAACAGTATATGAAATGATTAAAAATGACACACGAAAAAAAAAACAACGCATATAAAATAGAAAAAACACGGTTGTAAATCTTTTTTTGTTTCGAGGGATCTAACAAATGGTGAATAATATTCTGCAAAAAGTTTTGGTGTAAAGAATAAAGGTGATGTTTGGTTTTGTTATTTGTTGTTAGGAGTGGTTGTTGACATAACTGTTTCGATGGGACTTATGAAGTTTCAGATGAGGACAAAGCATAAAATAATTGTGTGATGCCACGCGAAGTTCGATTATTGCCGTTGCTAGGAGGACATGGTAGGTAGAGAATGATTTTTTGTTTCGCGTTGAATATGAAGAAAGAAATATAAGTTGTTTTTTGTTTTTTGATTAAATTTAAGTACAGAATGTAATAAAAAAAAAAGATTTCTGTTTGTATAGAAAGAATTTTTCGTTATGAATTAATTAAATAATTAAAACATTTTTATTACATGTAACTCAAGATTATATGACTTTATTTTATTATAATTGATAAATACTTGTAAAATATGCGTCTATCACATTATTTACTACTTTATTACATATCAAATATATATATATATATATATATGAAAATAAAAAAAAATATATTGATTGAAACATATTTTCTATTTCTAGAGATGTCGACTCATAATCTTCGATATACCGATGAAAATTCCAATTCCATAAATAGACGTAGACGACGACAGTCTACTTTATATTCGTCTAATCCGGTTACCGATTCTTTACCAGTTGATTGTATTCTTGTTTGTAGTCATAATGATGATAAAAAAAATGATAATGAACAAAATAATAATCGTAATAAGATGAGTCGATCTGAACGAAGACAAAGATTTGAAAATCATCTCACGAATAAACAAGGTCTTAAGCTTGAACGTGTAGTATGTAGAAACAAAACATCTAAAATAATATAATTTTCCTTTTTCAATGAATAGAAATCAATTACAGATCGAATTGAATATGTTAAAGTTCATACACCATTTGAAATTCTTTTATTAACTGCTGAAAAAATACGAATGAAATTACCAATTGAAGTAAGATAAGAAAATCAATTTATTTTTTTTTTTTTTTCTAATATTTATTTCTATAGAAAATAGTTGCAAAAGAACTCGGTACTTCAACACATAATGCATCATGTTGGCATCGTTTTACTGAATGGTTGAAAAAGCCATTTCGACTTGATCCATCATTGGCACGCGATGATATTGATTATTATACAGCAGTATATTCACCAAATATCAAAAAATTTACACCTTTTTTTAATGAATTACGAGGTTCAAAAGAATTATATTTTACACCAAGTGAACGAAGTTTATTAACATATGAATTATTATCAAGAGCTCATTTTGATGGTGATGGTGATGGTAATGATTATGATGATGATGATGATGATGATAATCCACAAGAACCAGTAGCCAGGCGACCAGGTTATTGAAATTGAAAAATAAATCGATGCATAATTTATTTTTTATTTTTTAGTTATCAACACAGTCGATGGATTGCGGAGTGGTTTAAAGAGACCTGGTATGACTTGAAGTTCTATTTTTTGTATAGAGTAACTGTTTGAATATTAGACTGGAGTTCATCGGATTCCGTACAAACCTGATTCTGCCTGGAGCCACATGCGAAATTTCTTTGATTTGAGTAAACTCGAATCTGAGCTGAAAAAAGAATCGAATGCATTTTGTTAAGATCCAACCATTTGCAGAATAGTACACTACGTTTCGATTCTACTTATAGTTTGGTCTTAAAAAGTTTTAGGATTTTGTGTTCAAATTGATCCATTTTATTGCGAATCCATTAGATTCCTCTAGTTATAACTTAAGATTGTTAATCGATAAAAATTTGTACGAAAAAAAATAAAATCTGAAATATTTTTTATAATCTATCAAATGGACATGAACGGGGCCAGTCCATTTTTGGATCCTGTTCTAGTACCGGTTCCACCAGGTCCGGGATCATCTTGCTTATATCACCTTGCAATAGTATGGAACTTATGAAAGATAATCTCAAGTTACAGATACAGTAAAGCTATTGAGCCTATTAAAGCTCAATTTATGATTAGATAACAGTTCATGGAGTTCTATCAATAGCAAATAATTTTAATTCCATCGTTCGAAAAAAAATCGTGTGAAACAAGAAGCAACTCATGATAAAAGTGTTCTTATTGATGAAAACTTTTTCATGATGAGACATTCTTCATCAAGTAGAATATATCAAGACTAGATAAAGTTTAGATTGCATTGTTCCCTGAGATCTTCCTTCTCGAGTTACGTGTATCCAATTAACCAAATTGTTCGCTTACATTAAGATATATCATTAAAAGATTGGATTTTTCATTTTGACAAAAAATTTTCACACATCCTAGCTTGCACTAAACTTTTTTTTTTGTGGGTGAAATATCAGATTGAAATTTTCTAACATTCAGTTTTTTATGATGTTGGTCAAAAACTACTTAAATTCAGTATTAATAACTCGAGAAGAAAAACTCAAAGAGATGAATTATTTAAAACTTTATTTACTCTCGATACGTACAATTTAATGAAGTACGTCTCATCACAAAAGATTTTTTTTATTATTTGAAACGGTTCGCTCATTAATTATTTTTGTCCATGATTGAATTTCGTAAAAGTATTTTTATTATTAATCGATTTATTGTATATAATGTTTCAGGAATTGCTCGATTGATAACTAAAAAAGCATATGATTGTTGTTTTCCTTTACATGAGGTAAATTATAAGATTTTCTTTTCAAATTGATTTTATTTGTTTTCTTGATTTATTCAAGCCTTTGCGAGACAATCTAACCAATATTGATAATACTGATTTAAATGATCGAGAAGTAAGTTTTAATCACTTTCTATATGATTGGATAATTTACTTGATAAATAATAGAAATTACAAAAACATTGGGCAACAATGCGTCAATGTTTAAAATTTCAACCATTATCTTTAATTCGTTCTTATATGGGAGAAAAAATAGCATTTTATTTTGCACTTTGTGGTTTTTATAATTTAATGCTTATTCCACCTTCACTAGTTGGTCTAATTATATTTATTTATGGTGCAGCTAGTGTTGCTACTGATCAACCAACGTAAACTTATTGAATACTAATAGTTTAATCTATTGTTGTTTTAATTCTAGATCTGATATTTGTGGAAGTTATGGAGAAAGCACGTATATGTGTCCAAGATGTGATAAAACATGTCCATTTTGGAAACTAAGTGATAGTTGTGTTTATTCAAAAGTAGTTGAAAGATGTTAATTTGTGGATAATATTCTTATTATTATAGGTTTCATATGTATTTGATAACACAGCAACGGTTGTTTTTGCTGTATTGATGTCTTTATGGGCAAGGTATGAAAAAAAAAACAATTCTTTTTGTATAAAATTTATCTTTTTTGTTTTTTGTATATTTATTAAATAAGATGGTTTATTGAATTTTGGAAACGTCGCGAAGCAACTTTACAATACCATTGGGTAAATAATTGATTTTGATATTAATAGAACTGCAATAGATATTTCTTTTTTTTTTTTTTAAATATTATAAAGGATTCGATTGATTTTGAAGAAAATCTTGAACCTATTCGACCAGAATTTGAACGAGAAGCACAGAAAAAAGGTGAAAAAAATATCAATCCTATTACAAATGTATTATTTTTTCTATGTAATTTAATTAATTAAAATATATATACATGTATGTATGTTTAGAGTAAGGAGCCATTTATACCGATGAACAAGCGAGTACCATTCTTTTTAATTGCAACTTTGGTTGTTTTATTTACAGTAATTGAAAGTTTTATTTTTATTTTTTTTTTAAAGATGTTATTTAATCGATGATTTAGATGGCAATCGTATGTACAACTCTCTTTGCTACAATTGTTTATCGTGTTCAAATGGATTATATTTTGAAACAAACATCGGCAAAAGAATACTCATCAATTATAATAACTGTTACTAGTGCTGTTATGAATCTTATTTGTTCTCTTATATTATCTCAATTTTATTATTGGGTTGCAAGAAGATTAACTGATCTTGGTAGGAAATTTTCATTTTTTTTTTTGTAATTAACTTATATTTATTTAATAGAACTTCATAAATATCAATCAAAATATGATGATTCATTAGCAATAAAAATATATCTTTTTCAATTTGTTAATTTTTATTCATCATTATTTTATATAGCCTTTTTTAAAGGACGGTAAGAATAACGTAACAGTGAAAAATTTTCATAGAAATTTAATTAAGATTTGATGAATATCCATCGAAATATGGTGAACCAAGTTCAAAAGATTTTACAGAACAGGTTTGAATTTATTCTTTTGCATATTGAATAATTCATTTAAGACAAATATATATATATAATATTTTTATTATCTAGTGCGATCCAGCTGGTTGTTTTGTGGAACTTTCTATTCAATTTTTAATCAGTAAGAATCCAAAAATAAAAATTATTTGACATCAAAAGGGAATTGAATTATCGAATTTAAATATAGTTATGACTGGTAAACAAATCATAAACAATCTAATTGAATTCCTATTTGCAATGTGTGGTGCATGTGTATGTCGCAATCGAGATAAAAATACAAAAATTGAACAATGGGAAATAGATAAAGATTTAAACAATTTTGAATCAACTACATTAATTGATGAATATCTTGAATTAGGTTAGTTATTAATTGTCGAATATTAAATTAAATTTTAACTTGAATATTTCATTTCATTCTATTAGTTATTCAATTTGGTTTTGTTACTTTATTTGTCGTTGCTTTCCCGTAAGTTTATTTTTCTTTTCTTTTCTTTTTTTATGAAACAGGACCTAAAACAAGTGTTAAAGTATATAAGATAGAAATTTGAATCCTCTACTCTTTTTAATTTGCATGTTTAACTTCTGAGGAGAAAAAAGAATTTTTTTTCTCTACAGTATCGTCTGAAGAGTTGGTCCTGTAAATTGCGCAATCCAACGTCCAAACGTTTCTAAATATTGCCAGAATTTTCTTCTATCTACTGTCTCTAATCCCTGTTAGCACAAACATGCCTGGGCTATACAGTGAGTTTCAAAAAAACCTAGATTTTACAGTTTTTCTAGCACTGTAAAAATATTTAATCCACCAAAAAATAAAATATTCCAAGTCAGCGCATTAAATTCCGTCGAATGATATATAAGACAAAATAATTTTCAAGAAAAAAATGAGGATCAAGATCCTCCTCAGATATTTTTTATCGAAATACTTTTTTCCAAAAAAAGATTCTTTTTTTTCTTAAAAATATTTTTCTACGTCATATCCAATTATTTCCAAGCAAGAAAGTCACATATCCGCCTGTCATGCGAAAAATGCACTGTATGTCGCATTTCCTTCTTTCATACAGAATATGACAGACGTTGTTGATATATAGGATCGAAGACCATATATCAATAACACCTCATTATAATATATGAACTACTTTCTTATTGCATTTCTGAAGAATTAAGTAAAAGGATAGTAAAGAAATGTGTCCCATAATATATAGAATGAAAGAATCTCTCTGTGGTTAGAAATATCAACTACATCGTGCTTCATATTTTCATTTCACACGGATTGCACTAACAGGGTTTTTTTATATGTATAATATATAAATTTCATTTTTACTTGTTTTCTGACTTGTATAGATTAGCACCATTATTTGCATTGATTAATAATTTAATTGAAGTACGTTTGGATGCATGGAAATTTTTATCTAAATATAAACGACCGATTCCACATAAAGCATCTGATATTGGAATTTGGAGTGATATTATTTCAGCTGTATCATTTTTAGCTGTATTAACTAATGTAAATATTCATTTAAAAAAAAATAATAAACAAATATATAAGTATTATTTTTTTTTTAGGCAGTAGTTATTGCTTGGACATCGGACTTTATTCCGCAAATGGCTTATCGTGCTTTACAATCAGGAGGGACAGGCTTGAATGGTTATGTTAATTGGACACTTTCATCTTTTCCTATAGCAGATTATAATCAAACGGGTACAATGCCATCAGGTGCACCGTCTGGTTTGACATATTGCCGGTAAGATGAAATTATTTTCAATAATTATTAATTCTTTTTTATTATAGTTATCGAGATTTTCGTGAATCAACTGGTCCATCTTATTCTCACACATCTGTTTATTGGAATATAACTGCTGCTCGTCTTGTGTTCATTATTCTTTTTGAACATATTATTTTTATATTTATTTATTTAATGCAATGGTTAGTACCGGATGTACCAAAAACAATTCAAGATAAAATTGCGCATGAACGTTATATTGATCAACGTGAACGATGGGCAAGTAAAACATATGAAGAAAATATTCAACGATCAATCCATAGTTCTCAAGTGACACCAATAAACGTCAACAGTCCAAATTATGATGCTAAATCTTCTCTTAATATTAAATCTCCTATTAATATTAAATCTTCTGTTAATGTTAAATCTTCTACTAGACAATCAAAGCAAAAAACAATATTTCAAACAAGAGTATCACCAGCAGATATACCCTGACCTTTTTTTGTGATTAGTTATTTTTTCACTTTTTTTTTATTGAATAAGTTTTATTAGTACATGTTTTAAACAAGGATGTACTTTGAAAATAATTTAAGTTTTATTAATGATTTTAGTCGAACTTTGAAATCACATTAATTATAATGATTTTTACTGAACTATATAAATAATTTCAAATGAAATAATTGTTTTAGTACTATAACTAAGCGTTTAACATCTACTGATTAGTAGTCATTCAAAATAATTTTTAGATCGTGATGTTGAAATGTTTTCATCTATATCTAATTAAATATTTTGCAATTAGACATTCAACTTTTAGCAATTGAATCAAAAGAAATATTTTTGAAAACGTATGCTTGATATCAACTCATTGTTCAAACGTCGATAATAAGGTTACAAAAACATAGTCAAATCATAAAAACACGAAGTAATCGAGAACACACAAATACTTTATTACACAAGGACGTGTTTATCGTTATTAGGCCTAGACATATGGTCTATAGAAATCGGCGATTGGTGTATTCATATTGCCTTCATATACTTGAAAATAAAAACAAAAATAACCAAAAACCTTGATCAGCTTGGACTCTACATATAAATATTCTCTCGATTATTTAGATAAATACCAAATATATCTCATCATATACAAATATTCTTCTTCCTTAGGTAATAATGTGTATGAAAATACGTTGCAATCAATGTGGCTTAATAACATGGAAAGGTGAGATAATTTGTTGTAACATTTCTTAATTCTTCTTCTCAAAGAAAAAAAAAAGGTTGTCAGCACAGCCTCGTTGGGACTAAAATGTGGAACTCACATGTGTTTTTCACAACCGCATTATATTCATAGAAAATAAGTAAAACGAAAAGATTGCATCTATTTTTTCAGTATAATAAATCGCCAGAAAAATGATCTGTATCATTTATTTCTACATTTCGAATAGAATTTTTTTTGTTTTTGTTTTTTATTGGTATTCTATTTTTTATTTGCCTTGTTACTATTCATTCGTTATTTTTCTTTTGCATATTCAATTTTTCGTAACGTAGTATTATTATTATTTTAACTATCAATTTAACTGACAAATAACGTTATTGTACATATTCATTATATGTACAACGGATCTCAACACACTATTATAGATCTTGATAAGCTCAGAAACACAAATATTGATTATTTCCTAAAGTTATAACTTGATCAATTCATGTTTTTTTTTTTAATGTTGATCATATAACGATTGTGTCAAATTAATGCATCACTAACCATCATCCTTGACAATTTGAATTTAAATGTTTTATCTCCGAAAAAATTAAAAACAGCACGATTGAGAACATTAATAAATGTATTCTAATCATTCAGATGAACAGTATAAGTCTTATTGTTAATGCTGTTCAGCACCTTTTTTCGTTGCTAAGAAACTCTGAGAAAAAACTTTGATATCGGTTGTTCTTGATTGACATGAAAACATACTCAGTGACTATGAATGTGAAGAAGGAGTTGGAGAGCCGAAAAACTTGAACTTAAAACTCATGCACACAATTTTCTTTCAAAAAATGTATACGAATTCCACAAAATATTATACTTATTGAAATTCTTAAATATTTTCATGATAATTTTCTTTAGGTTGTGGTCAACATATTGCACAAGTATTAAGAGATGTACCAATGGCACAGCGATGTAATTGTCGGAAAGGAGCAACTTGTATCCCAAATCAAACTCAATCAGGTAGATCGTGCAAGTTAAATCAATTGTATTAACAACTACATTGTTTGTTATGTCTTTCAAAAAAAAAAACAATTAAAAGTATCAAGTAGTTTTTTTTGTCATTTGCACTAGTTCAATTTCATTTTTCTAATGTCTTTTTGTTTTCAATAAATAGAACCAGTAGTTGACTATTATTATAGACTTTAGATGATCAATTTTATATTAATTTAATCGAAAAGACTATAAGTAACATTTTTATTTGATGAATACCAATAAAAATTTTTCTTTTTTTTTTATTCCTATTATGAAAGCCTTTCTCAAATGCAGCTATTAGAAAACATCAATAAAGTAATTATGTGTATATAATTGTCTTATGATTAAGTAAGCATCGATGCGTGAAATACTTTAACAATATGCTTACATTTAGCTTCTTCGTCCCTGTACAATAATTCAGTAGAAAAAAAAATACGAATATGTATCATGTAGAAAAAAAAAATATCAGTTCGAAAACTAAATACATATGGTATTAATGCTATGGCACGTTTTTTTTTATATTAGAGTTGACAATAAAAGAGATTTGATAAAAAACTTTTCATGACGTGATAAGAAAAATAAAAAAGTTATATTGACAGTTGATGCTGGTGAAAAATGAATGGATTTAATTACTTGTACAATTCAACATAGATATAATGATCTAGAATATTTAGCTAGTATTTCAGGTACTGTTCAAAATATTAGTACATATGAAGTAGAATTAAGCGATATATTTTTCGATTGTCAAGTATTTGATATGCATCATTAATGTTTTGTTATATTTGATAAAGATACATGTCGTTTTACCTAGCGTACAAGTGTATTCAAATAGAATAATAATACTAATAATGATCGTACGCAATTTATTATAACATATATGACATTTGAATTATCAAAATCATTATCAGAATATATTGTTTTTACAAAGTAAAAATATTATTAAAGAAATCATCAAATGTCGATCTTTAAAATTACTTGATCCATGGTTACATGTCAATAATGCTGGAGGTTTCTTTTTAAATTCAATTGTAATAAATGATCAATATAAAACGATAAAATAACAAGAACAAAACGATATTCCTCATTATTTGTTGAGTAATAATTAAATAAAGCTTCTAGCTGGTTGGTTTATTAAACAATGTAATTGAAAAGGTAAACATTTATGTGCAGTAACTATTTGGCATTCACGTGCTAATATATTAATTAATAATGGATCGAATAATGATTATGATTTATGGACATTAGCAAAAGAAATTCGTACAAGTGTAGAAAAACGATTTTATATACGATTAGAACCAGCGGTTAATATCATTCGAATATTTAAACCAATAAAAAAGTATGATTTATTATTTAATTGAGCGAACATTTTTTTTATATGATATTTTATATTTTAGAATATGACATCATCAAAATTAATTATTAGAAAAAAATCATTCATAGAAAAATGAAAATAAAATCAAAAACAATTCATATTTCATCAGATAAAAATGTTTGTGTTTATCTTCTTTTTGCTGTAATTAGTTTACGACAAATAGTTTGTTTTAAAAATGGATTTTTTGAAAATATCTGTCTTGATGTAACATGTATTTCACAATGGATTGATGAATATAATATAGCTGATCTTTATTTTAATTACCTAAATTTAATATCAGTACAATTTAGTCGAGGTAGTATTAATATAGCTGGAAATACTTTACTAACATATGATATTGTACGTTGCGTTAAACTTGGTGGTTGTCAATTTACTCATTATCCAATTGATCTTCATCATAATTTACTTGTTGCACTTACGAGGGAACATTCCCAACTGTCACATCACTTTTGAGTCGAGCGTATGCGCATCCTATAGACCATAATGATCTATGAATACTCTGAAAAAAGTTCGTTCCGCTAGCTTATTACTGCCGAGATATCGTATTTTCACTGTATGTTTAAGAAAAAAAGCTGCGGTCCCCCTCAGGAACATTAGAAAAACTAAGTTTCGAATTTCGCCTTGAAACTTTGCATAGAGGTAGATCTCACTAAGAATAGTTTATTGTGAAAGTTTCAGATCTTTTCGTTGTTCCTATCCTAAGATACAGCTATGTTAAGATGGCTTATACACACCAGCAGATTCTGATGTTCTTATTTCAGACTAGGAACAATTAAAAGATCTAAAACTTTCACAATAAACTATTCTCATTGAGACCTGTCCCTGTACAAAGTTTTAAGTCGAAATTCGAAACGCAGTTTTCTTAGTGTTCCTGAGAGAGACCACGGCTTTTTGCTTATACCTACAGTAAAAATACAATATCTCACCCATAATAAGGTAGCGGCTCAAACTTTTTTCAGAGTATTCATAGATCATTGGAATCTACATGATGCGCATACACTCGACTCAAAAGCGATGTGATAGTTAGGAATGGTCCCTCGTAAGTCAAGTGAAGATAAAAATTCTTCTCTATTTGTTCAAAGAAAAAGTTTATGAATTCGAATATCAATGTTCTTTATCATGACATTGTTTGCATTGTATTTTTTAATTTTATTCGCATTCTTAAAAGATTAAATAACAATAGGACTATCAAGCTACAGTGTGTTGTAATTTAGTATCATAGATTTTTGAATAGTAGAGATAATCTTTCATATCATTAACAAAACTCTTATATATTCCACTGACTTTTATACAACATCATTTTTTAAACATTGAAGATTTACATTAACATTTTCAGGTTTGCAGTAGATAAAACAAGAATATAAATAAAAAATAAAAATGATCATTATTATTCTATAAATAACAAGTTATTCGTTCAATCATTTGATCAATTGGGCATAACAAACAAACACAATCATCACCTTGAAAAATAAACATTTGTTTATTGTACATATTTAAACATATTATCATCATATCGATACATTGACATAAATATTTATTGCATATATGTGTACATTGTAAAGCTTCTGAATTGAGAATTAAGAAAAAATATAGACAACAATTATGTTTTGCATTTAAGGAGATCTCTGCTTGTTTCAAGTTTTCTCGAAAATGGCTCGCGAATAATTTTCGAACCGTTCGAAGTAGATGCATTTCGATAAGTATAAAAAAGTTATCATAGATTCTAAATCTTCAAATGCATCGTTCACGAAGACTCGCAAGGGCTAAAAATGACTCGAAATTTCCCGTTCCCTCCCTTAAAAAATCTATATGATGTTCTTTTGGGTTGGAATTTTTTTACTGTAGTAACTAGAATCGAATTCAGATGCATGTTATTTTTTTCTTTAGAAAATATTTATCGTGTGACTTGAGAGAATCAAAATATTGAAAGCACTATGAGAAAGAAAAAGTTCTTTTTTTCAGACAGGAAAAACATGACAAATTTTTCTCTCAAAATCTAATTTTAAGATAAACGCACAGGAAATTGTATTTTTTTTTAGCGAAAAATAAATAACTTTTTCAAATTTTTCTGTATAAAAACTAAATCTATATACATAGTGAACATAAAAAGAAAACTGAAAATTTTCCGTCGAGCAAGGAAAAGGAGAATTTCCTTCAATATTTCATTAGAACAAAGATTAGAGTATCATTTTTATTATCGATAATTCATTGTATAATATTTATGCTATCTTCAATTTTAATTAATAAAATTGAATATAAAAAGAGTTTTTTAAAATGTTAAAATTCATATTTTATACGAAGCTGATTTTTCTTTTTGATTAGAGAAAAAAGAAGATTTGTATTTGTCACAGTTTTTCATTATTGCATTTTATGATTGAAAAAAATACTTGTTTTTTTGTTCACTTTCACCGTCGCATATCCATTAAAAACCTTTGTTCAGGTGTATAAAAAGGTATTGTTTTTCCAAGTACAAGACGCATTTCATCAACCAATCGACACCAATTTGATGATAATGTACCAACATGTAAATCTGCATTAGCTTCAATAAATAAATCACTAAGAAATTCTAATACAATTTTTCTACGTTGTTCATTTGTCATATGAACTAATGATGCAAAAACAACGTTTCTTTCTGCTGTTATATTTAATAATTTATAATAGCCTTGTTTTTCTTTATTGATTTGAAAAAATTCATCGAATACTTGTTCATCTTCGGAATTAATATAAACTGTGCTTATATTCGCTCGTCGAACATCAGTATCAAATAAATCAAAATATTGCTTAAGTGTATATGCTTGAGACATTTCTCTATTTCGAACTTTATCTGATCGACGCACATATACAGCAATATATGGATGATGAAGATCAATTGAAGGTGGTTTGAAATAGTTTGCTATGGTATTCTGTACGTGTGTTAATGTTTCAGGTTTATATCGCATTAAATAAAATAATAATTGTGCACGGTACCAATTAAAAGTTCGATTTTGAAATATAGATGGATGAATTGGTTTAGACCAATGACCAGTATTAGCATTGATTTTAATTGTTTGATTACTATCGACTTTTGATAGAATAGAGCAATTAGTTATAGGAAGAAAAATACAATCAGGTGTCCTTAAATCACAAGTTCCATAAAGCTAAAATAAAAACAATTATTAAGAATTATTAGTTATTTCATTAGTAACGTTTAGAGCTTTTCTGACAACTGTAATCTTCATTTCAATAATTAATTCGAAGGAAATACGAATAAGAACTCGTTCTGTTGTACTATATAACTTTATGAAATTTTTGTTAGAATATGTTATATACTATAAAAGCGTAAGTTCAAAGTTGTTGATAATCTCAAAACAAAAAAAAAGAAAATTATGATCAATGTAACTCAACAAATAAACTACTCTAGTAAATATACTGAATTCAAGGTACTCGGGTACTAGATCAATTTTCAGCGTGGTACCTTTTCAAGCATCCTGCTGAGAATTGTCTCAGTATATAGGTACTTATCAAGTATCTGCCCAGTTCCTATAGCATTCTATGAAACATTTTTCAATAATTTAGTAGATTAAACATTTAGAAGCATTTTCTAGTTAGATGCTAAAAAAATCATCAAGTAATCAAAGATTCCTGCGAAATACTGATAGCAGGGTACCCAGAACTCAGTATATTCATTAGCGTATTGTCTAGGTTTTATTTCAATGATATCAATTTATTTTACCCAATTTCCTGGGGTTTGATACACGGCAATTCTATTATCCGCTATTGCCGCACCAAAGGCCCATACAATTTGATGAAAAGTAGATCCAAAACCGGACCAAGCAAAATTTTGAATAATAGCAAAACGTTTATTCATACAATCCATTGGATGTTGATGTTCATAAAGCCACTTTTGAGCTTGTAATGTATTCTGTATTGAAAATTCATTTGTTGATGAATGATCACATGAATCAATTTTATTGACATTTGGTCCACCGACATATTCAACAATACGACATGGTAAAAGACGTGCTAGACGAAAATAATCTTCATTAGCTAAACGCATTGACCAAAGATGTGTGGAATTATATTCACGAGAAGATGATTTTATCGATTGTTGATTATTTGTTGATGATCTTGGATCTAATTTTATATCTGATGAAAATATGAGGTGTATTTTACTGTTCGCTTCATTGAAACTTGAACCAAGGAGAAAACCAAATACAGAAACTAGCGCGAATAAAATTAAACCAATAATACTCTTAATAGTTGTTGTTTGTAATGATCTATTTGTTGTGAAATATTTCATAGTGAATGATGAATTAAAGACTTATTAGAGGAAGACAATGTTTTATACTATAATTTCTTTAATATGATTTTACTACTTTATTACTGTTAATAGATGTTTCAAAAAATTGGTCTAGGTAAATTTTTATTTACATCAATAATCATGTGAATAGCATTATCTAGAAAATATTAAGAATATTAGATATTAACATTGGAAAAAATAGAATTTTTACAAAGATAAAGTGCTTCACAACATGTCTTTAAAAGTTCCTTTCTGCTCATGAAAAAGAATTCAAATTATTAATATTTCTATCGTAATAATACCATACATATATAATAACTATATATATGATCTAGTGTATTGAGATTATATTAAAGATAAGGAAAACTTGTCGAAGTGTGACGGATAACGTAACTGTAACATCATGTATTGTTTTGAACGGAGACAAACGTTGATATTGGTCTATTTTTCATAGCATTAATAGAATTTTTCAAGGGAAAATACAGTGCTATAGAATTAGGTTAAGACTTGCAATCTTCTTCTGTTATTCTAACGACTATATTAATAACTAGATTTGACAAAAAAAATCCTACAATTGAAAGAAGATCAGCACTTAGAATTTGGAATCAAGAGATAGAATTAGTCTGAATTTGTGATGACTTGTACCGATCTGAATAGATTAGACCGGGTAATCTGCCGGGTGGACCAGACTACCGATAGATTGACCGATCGAAAAATTCGTACCGGGTTCTATTTCTGAGGAGATCTGTAAAGATTGCAATTTTACAGTTGAGATTACACATATCATAGCTTCATATGAACTAATTGAGCTGATTTCAATCATCTAGCTTCTTTTTAGATGAGCGAGATCCAAGGATCTGCTCATTTTTCATGAGATGGAATTACAAAAAAACTTTATTTTATCCTACTACTAAGGTCTGTAATGACTTTATCTCAGGTTGAGTAAATTGGGCTACACATGCACGGCTGAATAATGCTGTAAGACACACCTGCTAGTATCATCAAATAAGGAGTTCAAAAATTCAACTCATATAAGAAAAACGACCCATAAATCCAGCTCAAAAAAGGGACTACTCACTAGTAGTTTTTCTCAGTTCTTGCCAATCATAAAGCTGTAAGCTATCACAGAAATCATTGAGATCATGTTCAAATTGGTATTCTTCTATTGTACTACCTTAGTCACCTAGATGCGATCCGCACACTTTCAATGAATATTTCTTTTTTAAATCTTATTTTGTTCCTAGCCTCTCCTTGGATTTTTTATTTTCATGCGTTTTTTCAACAGCTCTTTCGTTAATGTAACCAGTCAGACTATATCCAAATTCTTTTTTTTTATATACCTTTAGTCATGTACCAAAAGATGAGTCTTTTTTAAATAGTCATAGTAGACACATAATACCTATTATTTGTTATTGTTTGAGTTCTATAGGTGACTGTTAGCTCGTTTCGTCGAACGGTCTCTTTCACTTTTTATTTTAAAAAAATGTATCTTGTATATATATAGAGAGAGAAAAGTGTCCTTCACGTACATATTTAAATACTTCACAGAAAAAGAAAGGAAAATAAATGACTATATAAGAAATAAAGAAAAAAAGAAACAAAAGCATCGAGAGATAGAAATGAGCTGGATCAACTACTAACAGTGACTAAGGATGAGAGTTGACAAGTGTTTCCTTACAATTATCTTGTGAAGGGTACTCTGTCTGAAATTAAATCATATATAATCATATATAAATGTATATGACAGGACTTTTCTTTATTCGTTATTTCAATAAAAGATGGTATTACAGGTATATTTCATCATTCGAACAGAATGAAACATAAGAAAACAAAATGAGTCTTGACTAGGATTCGAAACTAGATAATATCACAATTGGTAACTAGTCAAACGCTTTTACCAATTAAGCGATCAAGACACAGTCTCAACTCAAATTCAGAGTCAATATGGTTGTCACATATATTTATATATAATCATATGTGATTTAATTGACCAGCGATTGACAGGCATATTTCAAAACTTGTTGGTTATCGAGGTCGATTACAGTGGGTCTCCGTACAACGAAGTCTCTATTCGTAACATCACTCGAAAAGATTAAAAATAAATATTCACATTGAATTTGAATTTGAGTTAGGATTATGTTTCGATGACTTACCTAAGCATACTTTACAAAGTATATGATGAGTATGAAGACGACGAGCGCTCGAAAGTTTGAAATATTTATTTTTTATTCATTCTGTTCTGATTTCGAGTCCCTCGGCAGTCATCAGATTCTGACCACTTGAAAATTGTATTTTACCTGATATTCATTTTTCGACTCCTCAAGCACTTTTAGATTCTTCCATACTCATCGAACCTTCTAGTACTCGAGAAGAGAAACATATCGCAAGCATAATATTGACTGCTCCAGTAGAAGAAAGTCTAGCAGAATAACAATTTTAAGCGGTGAGGTTAATTTTGATTTCGTGAAACTTCTTCGAAAATTGTTTTACAAATGTCTCTTTCATTCAGCTACCTTAGTAGGGTGATTTATGTTCGATATATATTTTTCTTAATTCATAATTTTCTAAAAAATATTTAATGTTAATTGATGCAAAATAGAAAGACCGAAATATATAAACGTTTTTGATGAAAAAAAAACAGCCATAACGAATTTTGTATTTTGAATGTTTGAAAAGTTGTTTTAATATTGATTTGATATTTTCTCACACAAATCAATTATCTATCAAATGCCATATTTATCAAATAAGCTCCTTATATGGCATCTGTGACTCAATAAAAAAGCCTTTTCTGTAGCTAGAGACACGCAAAGGGTGTTTTTATTCAATTAAAAAGTTTTTTTTTTTGATTTTCGAAAACTGTTAGCAAATATTAAAATAACAATCTTGAATGTACTATTCTTTTATAAATCGAAAAGATAACTTTCATAGAAGAACACTAGTTCATATTTAGTTTAGATGTTCGACGAATATTAATCGTAAATATTCACGTTCAAATCTCCTCTGCAGCGTTTATTCGATAGGTTTCGACGACTCGAAAAGGAGGCATCTATAGGAAAGGCGTCTTTTTATTTTGATCAAATTTTGATTCCTTCGATAAAAATCGTTCGGCTGGTCAAAAACTCAGCGTTTCACTGACCTATCGGCAAGCCTTCGACCTATGGAAAAGTGAGAACCCGAGGGAGATACATTTGAAACTTTGATGTCTATGGCAACTTTAAATCGACGCGTCGAAATGTCTATCGGATGGCCGGTTTGATAGTTAGTAAAAGCGTCTGGCTAGGTGCCAGTTGCGATACTACCTGGTTTCGAATCCTAGTCGAGAATCATTTTCTTTTCCTTGTGTTTCCTTCTTTCCAAGTGATGAATAATAGCCGTAGTACTATCTTTTATTCGAACTCTGTGTGAAAACTTTCACATCAATTTCTACAAAAAATTTGAAACTAAACGATGTATAAGCAATAGAGTTTTGTTAACAAATAACGAATTAGGAAGTACAAATGATAACGTATCATGTAGTATATTTATGAATCTTATACCATTTAGGATGGTGTGTACAGACGAGCTATTAATGACTTTCAGTAAGATTACTAAAATCGTACATCTTTGTTCATTCTATAAAGTTTAAAGTTGACTAAGTATCCTATTTGTAAGCGTATAACATGATTTATCACTTATACTTCTTGATTTACTACTTACGAGGGAGGTACCCGAAGTGATTAAGAGCTTTTCAGGTGATATTTTGCCCATAAGTAGGACCTGATAAGGCTAGAAAAAATCTAAAAAGATAAGGGCCCATAGGCCTTTCTTTCCGAGTTACGATCATTTTACTGAATTTTTCACTTATGACAAGAGATTCATGGAAAAATCAAATTACAGAGTTTCGATCTGAAATATTGCCCACATGTGGGTCTTATGACCCTTATCTTAACTCAAAAGTTTCAGCCAAAACGAATGTTTCTTTCACGAAATATTTAGCTTTCAATAAAACTCACTTATGCTACACACATATCAAGAAAATCGACTTATCTTGAGTACGCAGTATTTTGTGAAAGAAACATTCATTTGGGCTGAAACTTTTAAGTTAAGATAAAGGTCATAAGACTCACATGTGGGAAACATTTCAGATCGAAACTCTGTAATTTGATTTTTCAATGAATCTCTTGTCATAAGTAAAAAATTCAGTAAAATGATCGTAACTCGGAAAGAAAGGCCTATGGGCCTTTATCCTTTTAGGTTTTTTCTAGCCTTATCAGGTCTTACTTATGGGCAAAATATCACCTGAAAAGCTCTTAATCACTTCGGGTGCCTCCCTCGTTAGTAATAAAACTCTGTTGTTGATATTTGATGTTATTTCAACTTTTTTTAAATTAGAAATCGATTTAAAAACTTAGACATAGAGTAGTTTCACACAATAATTCTAAGGAAACACTAGACAAGTAGACGTCTGCAACACAACTCCAAAATAAGCCGAGAAAAATATTTACGTGATATATGAAAATATTAC